GCCCGTTTGGTAAACTATGAGAAAATCACTTATTATTAAAAATTGTTGTGAGAGAAAGCTATAAGGGAAAGCAGCTAATGAGGTACTTTCATTTTCTGATTATGCAGGAATCAGTTTCGAAGAGGCGTTATGTTTAATGATTATGCGAGAATCATTTTCTGATTACGCGGGAATTAGTACCAACAACACTCTTAACAAAAAGTTTACCAAACGCCAAACTGCTTTCTCTCACAGCTGATTTCTTTCACAGCAAATCTGACAGCGATTATTTTCACAGCACAGCAATGCCAAACCGGCCCTTAGTAGATGATGTTAACGTTTTACAGGCGGCTTGTCCTTTCTCCAATCAATTTAAAGTTGTGTGATGGTTATTTTTCTGTTTGAAGTAAATTTTTTTCTTTCTATTTTTCTATTTTAGGTATAGCGTCACCAAAAGGTCCTTTTTAACTACACCACCAACCACTTAAAAAAATACCAAACAACTGTACGACATACGCACTCAAAACTACTTATTTTTTTGTTGGCCGGACACCGAAAACTATTATTTAAGCAAGTATTATTGCAACTTACATTGTTCAATATAATATCTTTTTCAATACATATTATTGAATTATTTCAGCCAGGTCGCGACACGTCTAATGTTTTATTATAATCGCTATAGTCTTCTTTTTTTAAATTAAAAAAAAATAATCTGAATGGACACTTTTGTCATTTTGGGTCTTGTAGAGAATAATGAAGTACCGAGGCTTCATTGAACCCCGGACCAACAGGACTTGGTACCACAAGGGCAGGTAGAATGTCGCTATTTTTATTTTATTTTTATATGAGTGGTATTGGGTGAGAGGGTTCGAACACTGGAAATGAGTTACAAGGGTAAAATGTTGTTATCCAAAATAATATGGGCTTGTTTGGGAGTGTTTCTGGAAAGGCTTTATGACAATCAAAAGCGTTTTTGATAGTGTTTGACAAATTTTTTTAAAAGTGCTTATAAGTCATAGAAGCACCTTATGAAAAATCACTACCAAGTGCTTCTGGATTTCTTATATATGAAAATTTCAACGTTTTCATAATAAAATCGTTTTTGTTATAAGCACTTATGAGCAAAAGTGTTTCCTACAAAAGAAAAACCAAACGAACCCAACTTGTAGTTTTAGTGAGTTTTTTGGAATTCTAAAGATATAATTTCAAAAGTAATTATCAAAAGAATAAATAGTCTTCTCTTTACTGTTTTTTTTTTGGTTGGACTCTTTCCATTACTTATATAGATAATTGAAGTTACTAGGGTTTTGTTTTTTGTTTTGGTTTCCAAACATTCATTTCTTTAGAGATTTTTTATTTAAACCAGCACTTCTCTTTGTTCACCCCAATACTTAAATCATTAAGTTGTAAGTTTTATTATTGTGTAAAAAGACAAAAAAGGTCATCCAACTTAATAATTAACCGTAATACATCTATACAGACACCCCACACACCCCACCACTCTTCATATTAAGTTTTAGAAAAATACAAACTCTTCTACATCCTATGCCAGATTACTCTTATCTTTTAAAGACGTAGAACATTAACGAGCCTACCTTTTTAAATATGCATGGGAGTTGATGGAAATGCTTGTTGATTGTCAACTCAACAATACCCAAGTGTTGGAATTCCAGTTACAGTTCTTGGAGAGAGGTAAAGATGTTCTCTTTCTCTAGAAAGTATTAAATTTCGGGTTTGGGGTTCAATTTGTTTGTGTTTTTTATCTGCTGGGAACAAAGAAAATTGTGGGGTTTAAATAGAAAATCTCTTTTATTTCTTATTTTTTCAATTTGGGGTGTATATAAGGGTAGTTTGGGAAGATTGTAGGGTTTTCTTAGAAATTGTGAAAATTTAATTTAAAAGATGGTGTGAACTTAGAACATGGGATGAACTAAGAGAAGTGTGGAGTTTAAATAGAAAATCTCTTTCTTTATATGAAGGATTTTTAACATTTGAACTAAACTATGCATGATGTTGGTATAACATGCAACTACCGTATATATTGGAAATTTCCTGCTCTTACGTTGTACTTGTTAAACAGGTTACCCAGACAAGTGGACAGCCCCTCTTTCTCACTATTTATACGTACCAAAGCTTTTAGTGATAATTCGTAACCAAACCAAGTCTCCACCTTATAGTCAAGTAACTCTCCTTATTTGTTTCTCTGTGCAACAAAAATGGCAAAGGCACCAGAACAAGAACATCCTGTTAAAGCATTTGGCTGGGCTGCCAGAGACAGCACATCAGGGCATCTCTCTCCCTTCAACTTCTCCAGAAGGTGATAACTTGTTTTCAAATCGAGAAACAAAGGGGGCTTTATTTTTCAGATTCTTTTTTTTAGTACAAGCGATAGTTTAAAGTACAGAGTATGGGGTTTTACACACACACTACCACGGTGCTATGGGGGTTCGAACTTGAGACTACTAGTCTGTAAATCAAGGCCCTTTTCAATCATCATTAACAGTATTGAAATGATATATCTATGCAGGGCAACAGGTGATGAGGACGTGCGGTTTAAGGTGTTGTTCTGTGGCATATGCCACTCTGACCTTCACAGCATTAAGAATGATTGGGGCTTCTCTACATACCCTATAGTTCCTGGGTAAGTATAACATCAAACTTTGATTATCTTCTCTTCACTTTATTTTTTCTTATTTGGTTTACACAGTTTTTATTTTATTTTAATTTATATGCAAGGCTCCGCCCACTGTTTACACTTGAACCTAGAACTTAAAATATCCTTCGAATTCCACTTGAGTTCAAACTCATTGGCACGAATGTTCTTCATCACTTGATCTTTATTTTACGGTGTTTACCCCTTCCCCTTTTCCTTCAAAGTGGATTGAGTTTTACAGAGATATGAAATTTCAGAATAATAAAAAAGAAGAAAGGGGTCTCCTACGAAGGATAAAAATCGAGCAAGAGGAAATTTTTGGGTATGCCGGGAGAGGAGGGATGGGGATGGTATTCTAATCCCCAACCCGAACTCACCCCGTTTAGGATTTATACATATATGTATATATTATTACTTATATTTCATATGAATAATTTATTAAGTGATTTCTACCAAATTTTATATTCCACATGAAATATATTGAATTAAATAATACATAAAAAAAAATGTAAGTGTAAAACAAAAATTTGGTATTGCATGTTGCTCTAGTATAACGTAGTTTCTAATTTTTGTTTTTTTTTTCTCCTTCAAAAATTATTTTCTTCTTGCTATTTTTATAACGGGACGGGGATGAGGAATTCTTGGTTTTAATATTAAAGGTATGAAGGTGGAAATGGAAAAAAAAATTTAAGGGGATGGGGATGGGAATGTTATATGACATATTTGCACTATCTATTTTAGAGAACGGGTCATGCTAGGAAGAAAAGTAGAGGTGATCAGAATTAGAAATTCCTATTTTCATAGAGATATATGTTCTCTACTTTCGTACATGCAGAAAAAAAAATCATATATTCTCTGGATTTAAATACCATAATTACTCTTTATTTTGCAGTGAGATCCATTTGTAGTTTCGTTTTTTCAATGCAGTACGAGTATTACCATACCCCATTGGAATTTAAATTGGCTAATTTGCAGGCACGAGATTGTTGGGGAAGTGACAGAAGTGGGAAGCAAAGTGAAGAAAGTGAAAGTGGGAGATAAAGTTGGTGTGGGTTGTATGGTTGGTGCTTGCCATGCCTGCGACAACTGCAACAACGACCTTGAAAACTACTGCCCCAAAATGTTACTTACCTACAATTCCGTTTACACTGATGGAACACTCACATATGGAGGCTACTCAGATTCGATGGTCGCCAACGAGCGCTACATCGTGCGTTTCCCTGAGAACATGCCACTGGATGCTGGTGCTCCTCTACTCTGTGCTGGGATCACAGTTTATAGTCCCTTGAAATATTTTGGCTTGGCAGAGCCAGGCAAGCATGTTGGCATCGTAGGGCTTGGTGGGCTGGGGCATGTGGGAGTCAAATTTGCAAAGGCACTTGGGGAAAAAGTGACTGTGATTAGTACTTCCCCTAGCAAGAAAGATGAAGCTTTGAATCAACTTGGTGCTCATTCATTCTTGGTTAGCAGCGACCAGGACCAAATGCAGGTTAAATTTTCTAGCTAGTCTATGATATGTTTCCCATTGTTGTTCTTCCTGCTTTTAAGTTTGAGAGATCGGATTAATTTTCATTAATGTATTTAATCAGAGGATTTAGGAATATATTATATGCATAAATTTATATGCCTAATCCTATATATTGTGGTTTTCAATTGCAGGCTGCCATGGGCACATTGGATGGCATCATTGACACAGTGTCTGCTGTTCATCCCATTGTGCCATTGATTGGTCTTTTGAAGTCTCATGGGAAGCTTATTCTAGTAGGTGCACCAGAAAAGCCACTTGAGCTCCCTGTGTTTCCTTTAATCATGGGTAAGCATATATGTATCTTCTCAATTATTTTGATCTAGACACTCTATAACCTAAAATCAAAATGTGAACATAGGAAGGAAGGTGTTGGCGGGTAGTGGAATTGGAGGCATGAAGGAGACACAAGAGATGATTGATTTCGCCGTGTTAAGTGGCTTGCCACATGTCACGAAACTAGCAAGAAAATAAGGGGGCACAGGAACTTTGGTAACAAGTAAACCGGACTCTGACACACCTTGGCAGTGTGTGTGAGTGTCCTTCTACCCCTTCCTAATTTTGGCAAAGAAAAAAAAAAAATAGGAGTACTATTATGTCAAGCCCATTGTGCATGCCCCATTTTTTAGGCCCAGCTTCTCACAAATTGTTGATAATTTCAATTATATAATGGGCCCATATGGAAACTAAACATTTTAACATGATACCAATTTCGTCATGTTTGGCAAAAATCTGTTGTTGGTCATATAAAGTAGATGATGTTAGAGCGTCTACAATCATGCTCTCTATTTTTTAGTTAAAATAAAACTAAAAACATACAAAAGCTATTTTAGGAGCTCTTTATAAAATTTGAACTCCAATCATACTCCCTAGTTTAGGGAGTTATAAATACTATAATTATTATTTGATTCAATATAATTGGTCCATCTCTATATATATATATATTATAGTTAGTATTAATTAAAAGTTTAAAATATGCATAGAACAAAGCAACATTAAATTATAGGGAGTATTTTATCATGGGCCCATATGGAAACTAAACATTTTAACATGATACCAATTTCGTCCTACTGTTTGGCAAAAATCTGTTGTTGGTCATATAAAGTAGATGATGTTAGAGCGTCTACAATCATGCTCTCTATTTTTTAGTTAAAATAGAACTAAAAACATACAAAAGCTATTTTAGGAGCTCTTTATAAAATTTGAACTCCAATCATACTCCCTAGTTTAGGGAGTCATAAATACTATAATTATTTTTTGATTCAATATAATTGGTCCATCTCTATAATATATATATATAATAGTTAGTATTAATTAAACGTTTAAAATATGCATAGAACAAAGCAACATTAAATTATAGGGAGTCACTATGAGTCATTTCTCTCTCCTCAGATTTAGGAGCTCCTAGAGGTCTCCCTATTTTAGGAGGTGGATAAGGAGTATGGTTGGAGTTGTATTTTTTCAATTCTTCCCTAAAATTTGTTTCAATAGGTGATTTAGGGAGTACATTATAGATGCTCTTAACGTTTTACAAGCGGCTTGTTCTTTCTCCCATCAATTTAAAGTTGTGGGATGGTTATTCTTCGGTTTGAAGTAAATTTTTTTTTTCTTTTTTGGGTAAATGAAGTAATTGGGCTTAGTCAGCCAAAGATGAAGAAATATATAGCGTAAAACATCCTCCACCAAGAGGTCCTTTTTAACTACACCAACCACTTCAAAAAATACCACAAAACTGTACGACCTACGCACTCAAAAACTACTTTTTTTTTGTTGGTCAGACACCCAAAACTATTATTTAAGAAAATATTATTGCAACTTCTATTGTTCAATACAATATCTTTTTCAATATATAGTTGTATATTTAGGAACGTTGAACGATATATTATTGAATTATTTATGCCCGGTCGTGACTCGTCTGATGTTTTATTATAATCGCTATAGTCTTGGTTTTAAAAAAATAAAAAAATGGGAATGGATGGTATGGTCAAAAGAAATATGAATAGACACTTTGTCATTTTGGGTCTTGTAGTGAATAATGAAGTGCCGACCTTCATTGAACCCCGGACCAACAGGACTTGGTACCACAAGGGCAGGTAGAATGTCGCTATTTTTATTTTATTTTATTTTATTTTTGTATGAGTGGTATTGGGGGAGAGGGTTCGATCATTGGACATGAGCTATAAGGGTAATATGTTGTTATCCAAAATAACATAGGCTTATTTGGGAGTGCTCTTGGAAAGCTTTTATGACAACCAAAAGGGCTTCTGACAACGTTTGACAAAAAAATTTAGAAGTACTTATAGGTTATAGAAGCACTTTGTGTAGAAACACATGACATGTGCTGGAAGGACTACCAAGTGCTTTTGGATTTCTTATATATGAAAATTTCAACATTTTTATAATAAAAATATTTTTGCAAGAAGCACTTATGAGTAAAAGTGGTTTCTAGAGAAGGAAAACCAAACGAACCCAACTTTTAGTTTTAGTGTATTTTTGGAATTCTAAAGATATAGTTTCAAAAGTAATTATCTAAAGAATGAGGAAATTTTGTAGAAATGTCACTTGAACTTATAACTCAATTCCAATTTGTCACTTTAAAGAAAAATTTAAGAGAAATGTCATCTTAATTTTTCAAAATCCATGATTTATCATCTGACTTCATCCAATTTTCCATTCTTAATTTCTTTTTTATATCTTTTAAACAATTAAAATTGAAAAAAAAAAAATCTCACGTTCCCACATCCAACACATGACATGTGCTGGAAGGACTACCAAGTGCTTTTGGATTTCTTATATATGAAAATTTCAACATTTTTATAATAAAAACGTTTTTGCTAGAAGCGCTTATGAGTAAAAGTGGTTTCTAGATAAGGGAAACCAAAAGAACCCAACTTTTAGTTTTAGTGTATTTTTGGAATTCTAAAGATATAGTTTCAAAAGTAATTATCTAAAGAATGAGGGAATTTTTTAGAAATGTCACTTGAACTTATAACTCAATTTCAATTTGTCATCTTAAAGAAAAATTTAAGAGAAATGTCATCTTAAGTTTTCAAAATCCATGATTTATCATCAGACTTCATCCAAATTTCCATTCATTTTTAAGCGTATTTTAAAAATGAAAAAAAAATCATTCTTAATTTCTTTTTTATATCTTTTAAACAATTAAAATTGAAAAAAAAAAAATCTCACGTTCCCACATCCCATGTGCGCCACTAGCGGCTCCACCCAACCCCATCCACCTTGAAATCCATTCCCCCTTCCCTCTTCACAACCTCTTACTCCTCTATCTACTATGAAACACATACCCCCCTCCACACACAAATACCCTCGGCCCACCCAAATAGAATCCATCTTTTTCTTCTTCTTTTTCTTTTTCTTTTTGTTATTTTTCTATTTCCATGCTCAGAGAGAGAGAGAGAGGGAGGGGGGTCCAGTGCGATGCGTTTTGGAGGCGGTGGTGTTGGGGTCGGGGAGAAAGGGAGAGAGAGGTGTATTTTTTTATTTTTTTTTTGAAAATGAAAAGACTAAAATACCCTTATAAATGGATGAAAAAAATGGATGATATTAAACTTGGATAATAAATCATGGATTTTGAAAAATTAAGATGACATTTCTTCTAAATTTCTTTTTAAGGTGACAAATTGAAACTGAGGCATAAGTTCATGTGACATTTCTACAAAAATCCCAAATAATAAATAGTCTTCTCTTTCCTTTACTGTTTTTTTGTTGTTGTTGGACTCTTTCCTTTACTTATATAGATAATTGAAGTTATTAGGGTTTTTTTTTGGCTTCCAACCATTCTTTTCTTTAAACTAAACTATGCATGATGTTGGTATAACATGCAGCTACCGTATATTATGTATTGGAAATTTCCTGCTCTTACGTTGTACTTGTTAAACAGGTCACCCAGACAAGTGGACAGCCCCTCTTTCTCACTATTTATACGTACCAAAGCTTTTAGTGATAATTCGTAAGCAAATCAAGTCTCCACCTTAATAGTCAAGTAACTCTCCTTATTTTTTTCTCTGTAGATGTGCAACAAAAATGGCAAAGGCACCAGAACAAGAACATCCTGTTAAAGCATTTGGCTGGGCTGCCAGAGACAGCACATCGGGGCATCTCTCTCCCTTTAACTTCTCCAGAAGGTGATAACTTGTTTTCAAATTGCGAAACAAAAGGGGGATTTATTTTTCAGATTCTTTTTTTTAGTACAAGCGATAATCTAAAGTATAGAGAAGAGGGTTTCATACACACACTACCACAGTGCCATGAGAGTTCGAACTTGAGACTACTAGTCTGTAAATAAAGGCCATTTTCAATCATCATTCACAATATTGAAATGATACATATATATATGCAGGGCAACAGGTGATGAGGACGTGCGGTTTAAGGTGTTGTTCTGTGGCATATGCCACTCTGACCTTCACAGCATTAAGAATGATTGGGGCTTCTCTATATACCCTCTAGTTCCTGGGTAAGTATAACATAAACTTTGATTATCTTCTCTTCACTTTTATTTTTTATTTTTTGGTTTACACAGTTTTTTTATTTTTTAAATTTTTAGGTGAGGCTC